AGTCTAGAGCTGTTCCTTTAATTCCAACTAAATATTCTTTTGTCTTTCTAAAAGAATATTATGGTCAACTGTATCAAATGCAGCACTGAGATCCAACAGGACGAGCACAGATACAAGTCCATTATCTGAGGCCATGAGAATATCATTAGTGACTTTCACCAGAGCTGTTTCAGTGCCATTATGAGCTCTAAAGCCAGACTGAAACTCTTCAAAAGTTCATTATGGTGGATTTGATCAGACACTTGTTTGGTAACTACTTCCTCAAGAATTTTAGATCAGAAAGGAATATTGGTTTAGGTCTATAATTGACCAAGTCATCTGGCTCAAGAGACAGTGTCTTAAGGAAAGGTTTAATTCCAGCAACCTTAAAAGCCTTTGGTGCATATCCCTTTAACAGAGGTAGATTAATCACATCTAAAATGGAGGAGGAGATCAAAGGGAATACCTCCTTAAATAACCTGGTTGGAACTGGATCTAACATCCAAGTTGAATGCTTAGATGAAGACAATAATTTTCCTAACTCTGAAAGTTCAACTGGATCAAAGCAGTCTAAACCCCGTTCAGATTCCATGACTACCTCAGATGCTGCCGCACCTTCCAGAGACAAACCAATCATAGAGAGAGGAGTGTCTCCACCCTTGGTGGAGACGGACCCGCGTCGAGCTGGAGCCGGACCACGAGTCCCCCCTTTGCATAGATGTTAGATTTCTGCAATCCTGAATTATTAGAATAAAGACGTAATTGTTTAACTTGTAGTGGTCTTGTAATCCATATAGCGGACGGTTTATCACTCAGGTCAGATTCACCCCCTTTTGCAAACAGTGTGAATACAGAGATAAATACTTCTTTGATTGATAATTAATAGCTCTGCTGATAACCTAGCCTGAGTCACTAGATTGGTGTGGATACCTGGATTTTAACAGCCGGTCCAGGAACCCTTCAGAGGTGAAAGGCATAAACCCTGGTAAGTAAGCAAATTAAAGCTACACTTATTCAACTAAGAACACTTAATTGATTTCACCTCCGATTTTGAATAAGTTAAATAATTAACTATAACTCCAGTTCTAGTTAATTATTTATTTATTATCTGCAGGATATCATTTTGCACAACCGATGGTTCAACAGAGCTATGGCTCTGGGTGAGTTTGGCAACTGGATTAAAAAGAAATCTAGGATTATTCTTATTCTCCTCTATTAATGAGGAGAAATATGCTGCTCTTCCTTTACAAGGGGTCTCTTATACAACAGTAAACTATTTTTCCCAGACTAGGTAGGATTTCCGTAGGCCTGTTGAGCGATATTTTCTCTACAGTTTCCTAGCATTTTGCTTCAAAGTGCGCAGCTCTGCATTAAACCAAGGAGCCAGCTTTGTTTTTAACATTTTTCTTTTTCAAATGGGCTATGTTGTCTAAGGCAGTACGCAGAGAACTAGCAACACCATCAACAAAATTATCAACCTGTGAAGGGGAATAAGCTTTTGCACTCTGCAGCACTGCTCAGTGACACAGAGGAGAGAGAAAAAGTGAAAGATTCTTTAAATTTTATAACTGCATTATCTGATAATGATCTGCTAAAGTGTAACCTTCCTTTGAGGGAGGAGAACTCTGATAAAGTAATCCTGAAGGTTATTAAAAAGTGGTCAGAGGACAGGGTTGTAAGGAAATACTGCTATTTCCTTACATTCTATGCCATATGTCAGCACATGTCCAAAGTATGAATATGAGAATGTGTGGGACTATTCACATTTTGAACAAAGCCAATAGCATCTAAGGTAGCATTAAAAGCTACCCTTAAATAAAATATTTGGAAATGGATATAAATAATAACGATGATCCCGAAAAGCATAAACGGTTACTAATTTTAAGAACGGAATACAATAATTAACATCTGATACAGCATCAAACAGTTTACTGTGTTTGAACCAGGCCTATTATGATTAGGGAGAAGAAGCCGGCAAACTGTTAGCTTGGAGAATTAAAAAGACACAATCTGAAAAAGCCATTAATAGCATAACTACCCAAAAGAGGGGGATATGAAATGATCTTCAAGATATTAATAATACATTTAAGGAATTTTATCACTGTACAGATCAAAATGCTCCCTGCACCTACTTAAAGAGATGCATTTCTTAACCAGCTTCAGTTTAAAATACTCAGAGGAAATTAAAAAGGACCTGGATCAGGATATCACGGTGGAAGAGCTTTTGTAGGCCATAAAAAGTATTAACTCAGGCAAAGCTCCAGGGCCTGATGGCTTACCAACATCAACACCAACATAACATTAGAAGGGTCGTCAACATTCCATTGTACATTGCCCGGGCAGCAGCATGGGGTTAAGGGTGGTAGTGTGTGCACTGCTAAAACGATCTAGAAATAAGAAAACATTTCTTAAATTAAGTGTATTTACCGTTGATATAAGCAGGTAAATAAGATGATTTCCCAATGGAATGAGTATATTTCCTCCTAAAATAAGATTATTGGATAATATGCACTTGAAATAAGACAATGAATTTGTTTTGTCTAATTTTAAATTGTATTGTTCCATTGGCAAAGTGTCTTACTGACTTCCCCATTCAAGAAATAAGGCACTTATTCTCAGAAAAAATAACCTTATTTAGATTTTTTTTTTGCAGTGCGGGACTTGAACTCAGACCCTCCGGGACCCAAGTGCATTGATCTAACCACCAGACCACCGCTCCACGGTGCGACTCAAAGCTCAGCCGTCCTTCTAAGGCTCTTCCTTTCTGGTAACCTGGTTAAGTTGGGTGGAGCTGTATAGGAAATGTAAAGTAAAGCATACCTATTTCATGCATTTGACATTAGATACTGGAGTCTTTGTTTTCTTATCTCAAACACAAATGATCTCATTCATTTAAAAATGGTTTTACTTTTCTACTCAAAACAAGGGAAAAAACTCTTTATTCAAGAAAATTTGACTTAGTGGAACATGAATCAACTTAAATCAGCTCAGAATGTCTATATTAATCCAAATCAACATTTGGTGCTTTTTCTGTCTAAACTCTGTCTAAACTGGTTTTCTGAAGGTGTGTTTAGGTTGGAGCACAAAGACAAGATCAGGAAAAACTGGGAAACTTTTATTAAATGTGATAAAAAAAAACAACTGGAAGCAGGACT